TGATGGACAAGTCGATACCGGCGTTGGCGATGGTTACGTGGCATTAAAAAGTAAGATTTCTTGTTTTTTTTTCTTTTTTTTTTTTGTTTTATTTTTTCTTTTTCTTCTTTTTTTTCCTTTTTTTTTTCAATCGATATTTCAAGAAGTAAAACTTCAACAAGTTGGCTGGATTTTCTTTCTTTCCCCACTCTCTTTTCATTTCCTTTCTTTTTCTTTCTCTTGTTTGTTGTTTTGTTTTCGAATGATAAATTCAAGGAGAAAAATAATTATGCTGGTTTTCTTTTTATACTTATCATCCTTTTTTTGTTTTCTTTCTTTTTTTTTTTTCGTTTTTTTTTTTTTTTCTTTTTCTTTTCCTTACCAGATACACGAAATAAATTTAGTGAAAGTTTGAAGGATGCGAAACTTCAATACAAATTAAAGATCGCACCTCCCGTATTAGACATTTATGATGCCGCGAGTGCTGCGAAAGCCGTAATGCATGATTTCGACATCAGAAGGAGATATTTCGAATCGTTTATGATATTTGCAAAGAGATGCTTATCGTTAATATTTCTGAATATTATATTGAACGCACAAAAGTATCATGACAATTATCTAACCGATATCGAGTTCGATAACATTTACGTGACACGTTATTTTCGAAAGATCGATGCTAGAAGAAAAGCTCGTGGCAGTATTACCTTATTGCCATTGAAGAAGATCGAGAGAATTAAATTTGTCGATCCTTATGGTTTAAAGACGAGCAAAATTGAGGGACGACATATTATGGGTGAAACGTTGAAACTACTATTTGAAATAATTATAGCTACGAGTTTTATACTGATGGATAGATTATTCTTTGAAGCACTCGATTTGATTCGCCGCCATTCACTATTGGAATATACTCAGGTAGAATTATACGATTACGCGAATTTTTCGTTTATTTACTTTTTATTTTCTCTCTCTCTCTCTCTCTCTCTCTCTCTCTCTCTCTTTCTCTCTCTTTCTTTTTTTATCTCTTGACAAACATTTTTTCTAGTCATATATTATTTACACATAGTATAGGTTGGTCACCACGATTTGAGTTTGGAGATTCAAGGTACAGGTATCATAGCATCTCTAATTAGACATTTAATCAATGGTTTCAACGTGAAGAAACACACAAAAACTGTTATAACTAATGAACCATGTCTACCAAGACCGATCGAATTATCAAATAATGTAATAGTTAAGATTTACGGTATCTTTCTAGCCGTTTTCATATTGATTTATACATCAGCTTATACCCAAAGGACACGTTTCTTTATTTGCTCGTTTTTTTATCGGACTCGTCAAAAACGTCGTATATTATATCTTTACAATGAGAGTTTACGTCGTAGACACGGTTACGTGAAATTTACGAAAGCGAAGATCAAGACTTTGGCTAGGACGCGACATTTGGAACAGGAGATCTCCTTTACAATGGCATTAAAAAAAGAATGGCCGAAACTTTTCGGTTGGTTACGTTTATTCGAATCGGCAAGAGAAAAATGTTTAGTTTGCGGTGAGGTTGAACCACGAAGGGGTATTAAATTTCGTCGATGTACAACCCCAGGTTGTCCTTTCGTTCATTGCGAGGAATGTTGGAGAGACATCGGACAAATTTGCTATGCCTGTGCCGATGTTTCCGATACTGATTCGGAAGACCTAACGGATGAGTCCGAGTCAACGGAATGAATAACAACGATCTGTTATTCTTCTCTCTGTCGTGACCTTTAAAAGTCGTTGGAAAATCACAAAAGACCGAGTCATGATACGATTTCAATTTTACATTTTATAACCTCGAAGTATAATCGTCTTGCCGAAGATGTTGAAATCATCGAATTAAATATTCCATCCATTAGATCAATTAGCACAATCAGGAAACTATCGTGAACGTTAAATACTTTATTTTCTTCAACAGTTTGTAAAAATTCCTTCATTAGACTTATCTTTAGATTAGAAATGATCGACCTGATCTTTTTTTTTTTTTCTTTATTTTACAATATATATATATATATATTACAATTAGAATAAAACATGTGCACATATATACAGGATTAATAATAGCATGTGAGTAGACGAAGAAGAAGAACAAGAAAGATGATTTTCGTGCTTATTCATAATTCATAAAGTTCGAAACATAGTAGGCGTAATTTAACGTCCTGAAAATTTCTTCAGACTAAAATGTTTCCTAGAATTATTCTGTTCAATGAACGGGGGACTCTTCTTCTTCGGTCAGGTCGAAAGACTGCGGAACAACATCGGAGAAAAAAGAAAAAATAAAAATATGGATGACGGAATCAAAAAGAGGAGAAAAAAAAATGTTCTAAGAAACGTTCTAAGAAATATTCCCTCTTTTTCTTTTATTTATTTATTTATTTATTTTTCTAAACACGTATCACGTCTCTAAGGCATGCTTATTTAATCGTATATATATAACAAAACAAAACCAAACTTGTGATATATTATATATGTACACATATGTAAATACATTGAG